TACACAATCTGGCGTCCCAGATCGCTTCATTCACAGCACTTCCATCACCGTCTTCGTTGGGCAGTGGATGATAGAAAGCTCACTGCCCCCCTGCGCCTACTTAACGCCATGTCCAGGCGTTCACACACACACACACACATACGCACACACACACACACAAACAAAAAAGCGCACAAACACACAAAAACAACCACAAACACACACACGCACAGACACACACACACACACACAGACAGGGATGAAAGTGTGCATGCATGTTCATCACGCTACACCGTCGCCAAAGCGATGCATGGAAAGCCTGTCTCTGTATGTGTTTGACAGCCGTGCTTACAGAACTGCTTGGCAACCGTGGGCATGCATGAACCCCATTCCTGAATGGCATATCATGCACGAACACGGTCATAAATTCGGTGTTGTTGGCTCTGCACGAAATGCTGACAACTCAGGTTCTGGTTGTGGCTGTTGTCTGTCTGCTGCTCAGGCGATCTTTGCATCAGCAGCAATGCATGCGGAAACACGGCTGGGACACCTGAGATTTTCGTGGGTTGCTTGCCACCAAGATCCGCAGTCCTAGATGGTGGCCAGTTGGAATCTTCACTGGGCTGTCATACATCAACATGGTGGCGGCATGGGGGGGCTGCGGCCTGAGAAGATCGCAGAAGGGTTTCGAACCGCTTAGCCTGTCTGACCAAGTGTGAGGCTACATCTTCGTGCTCAACATGATCGGGGTCCACGCCGTAATGCTGGTGCTGCTGGGCCGCTTCACCAGTGGTGCCCACAAGTGCCTTGGATTGTTCGGTCGCCTGCAGAGCGCTAGAAAAATCGTCGTAGCCGCCGGAAGAAGTCACACGAATGTTTTTTCGTCGTTGGCCCTGGCCGCGTGGCAGGGCATATTCGCTTTTCTACATCATCGGCACGGCTGGTGCCGTTCAAATCCCAGTGGCCGATGCCTCAGTCTAGGGAGCCTTTGAGTGCCTGTGTTGCTTGCTGCACTGCCTGCATTTCGAAGTCATGTGAACAACCCTATTGCAGGTAGGATGGCAGCCTTTGCGGTCGCTTGAGCAGATGGGTCCACTGCTGGTCTTTGTCGGCTACCAGGACATTTGCTGAGATTCTGGAGCGAGTCCCGGTAGACTTGTAGACCACGATTCTCACAGGTCCTGGCATTTTGCGATTACCAGCGTCATCGAAAAAAGATGGACACCTGGGCCTTCGTCAAATACCGCATCCTGCACCTGGCTGCAGATTCAAAGCAAAACGCCTGCACGACATAGTTGTCACGGGACTCGAGCAGATGGATCGCAATTCAACACCGTAAATTGTAGAGGAGTTTCTTCGGGAAGCCACGCTAAATCGGAGCAAAGACCCAGAATCTGCCCAGCTGAACTGAGGATGTGTGTTCTGACCGGCCTGGCTCTCGTTGCCGTAGCAGCCACTTTGTCGTGAAACAGATCGAGCGAACAACTTGACATCCCTACTCGTAGCTAGCGCACAGGACGTAGTTCCATGTGTTTCCTTCCTGGCGACGTTCGAGCATCAGAGGAACCTGCGATGACATTCCCTCGCCCCGGCTAATCGCTTGCTGCTACTATTGGGCAAGTGGCGTCACTCCGACCAGCCAAGGTGATGCTCTACCCCACCGGTTACTTCGGCCCACTCTCTTCCAGAATTAGAGGTTCAAAAAGAGCAGTTGCACTCAAGCTGGCTGATAATGCATCCTCAAGACACTGCGTTTGGGTAACTGTGCATTCATACAACTGGCATGCGCAGGTCTTTTCGTGAAGCACACCAAGACCGGCATCCCGACTTGCCTTGGCATGTGCACCAGAGGTACAACAAGCCAGCGGCGGTGCTGGATGCCCGTGAGCTAGAAGGAAAGCATGGCTAAAGTAACTGCAGCATGTTTGATAAAGGCAACCCGCTTGTGGACTCTGTGGCCGAGCACCAGCCTGCGAACCCCAAGATCTATGTTCCTTGGTTTTTTCTGCGAAGCTCTATCTTGGCGTTGCAGCTCAGAATCAAGCAGCTCAGAATTGAAATTGAAGATGCCTGCAGGCTTCGCACTTGGGACTTCCGTTGAACTACGTCCTTTTCGGTGGACTTGTTTCCGCCTTCAACCGAAACAACGGCCCGGAACCTCAGTTTCAAATGCGCTTCTGTTCGGTGCAGGGTTGTGTTCTCCACCTAGGCTTTTACTTCCTTTGCCTCTATGGCTTCATTGTGCCCCGGCTCGGCTGCTATGGCTGCTGCAGGGAAAGGCAATTCTCCAGCAGTTCTTCAATGAGTCAAGCCTCGTTGTCATTTCTTGGCTCGAAACTCAAAGCTTCGGTCGCTTCGGTCAGGCGTTTCGCTACCTGCCGCCATGGATTCGGTTCTGTCAGTCTTTCGCGAAGCGGACGTAGAGAAGCTGCCCAGAAGAAGGGTCCTGCAGCTCCTGCAGATGCGCGGAGCCCAATTTGGAATTTAGAGCGTCGTGCAGCGCAGCTCGATTCAAGAGTCCAAGGATGGGAGCGGAGAAGTTGGAGACTTTTGAACAGCTGCTGGACGCTTACGCAGACGGCAAAGCCAGTCCCGCAGAGAGCGAAGATATTCGGCTCCCACATTTCTTGGCGTGGCTCCAAGATCCCTTCAGCAGTGATGCGACTCAAGAGGAGTGAAACGTCAATCCAGACAACATATCGTGATATTATGAAATCACGAAGCCATGATCTCCCTTTTGCCTGGTTGCCAGCCATCTCATCTCAGCTCGTGCCTCGACTCAAAAAGTATCTCTTGTTCCATATTCCATATGGCAGGACCCGATCGCCGCTGAGCGAAACGTCGTGGACGCATTAGCACACCGAGGAGTCACTCTCCGCAGTGACTCGGATGATGTTGTGTGCTGTCACGAGACGCAGAGCATCCACTGGTATGTGTTGCACCACCAGCTGGGTTGGAACCTCTTTGCTCTATCATTATCTGCTGTGGGTTGAGATAATGTGGTGCTTTGTATCTATTCGCAGCCTGTTCATAGCTCCAAGCCTAGCGAAGCCCGCAGGTCTTCAACCTTAAGCCTACACTCGTCAGCATGAATAAGCCTTCAAGAAGCAGGACATCAGGTCATGTCAATCAACCCCTTGAAGCAGCCGAGTGCTTGCACTCGGGTTGCTGCTTGGATGACTGAAGTCCCTTAGAGAAGGAAAGAACATGTCAAGTGTTGCCCGGCAATAGCCCAGACTCACCTTGGCAAAACGTTGTGAGACAGCACCTTGGTCGAGGTCCTTGCCGAAAGATGCCAAAACCATCATAATATGTGGTGTTTGATCCAAGCCTTCCAATTCGAACATCACTGGGCGAAAAACCTAAGCAGGGGAATCATGGAACCAGGGCACGGAACCTCAGCTGGCCGCACCTCACCCCAAAACCCAACGTGTCGCAGCTGCACGGACAGAGCTCCTGGCATTTTTCCTCGGCCGCCCCAACGCGAGTCCAAATTTCAAAACGCCGACAGTTCACCGACTCCAGCAGAATTGCAAGTAAAAGTCCGCAGTAGAAAGATGAGAAAACTGTTGAGTCACGCTTTCTGGCATCCAGGCCTTCTGGCCTTTATGCGCCGCTTACCGGATGCTATGCCTCACTATGATCTGGATACCACCAGGACGGTGCGATTGCGATGTTCAAGTGCAAAAACCTTTGTGTGCCTAATCAGGACCGTTGATGTTGTTTGGCAAGCATCTAGGTTGCACTGGGCAAGGCTTGCTCGATGTCGCATGTGCTTCGGTGCTCAGACCCTAGACGGCTCACTTCTTATGTTGAAAGCAGACCATTTAGGTCATCATTCCAGAGACTGCAGAGAATGGCTGCTCGTATGCAGACTTATTCCAAAGCAGCGAAACTTGGAAGCACCAGCCAGGGTAGCCCCCAACACCATAACCATAACTGGTGGTCGCCGACTGGGTGCATGACGACTGCCGGGCTCCCTCAGCATGGGTCCGACCAGGGATAGCATTCCAACGGGCTTTATCAGGAGAAGCGCTTGCCGGACAAGATGGTGTCGCATAACTGGGGGAATTTGTTCTCGCATTTGATGGCAGCGCTGTTTGCCGATGCATCCGGCAAGACGAGCTTCCGAACGATGCTTTCATGGATGCGATTGGGTTCCCCAGGCGAGGTGCTGCCCTCTTTGATGCTGTCCGCTCTGCTGCCGCAGAGGCTGGGACCTCATCGAGGCTGAAGTTCAGGATGCGGGGCAGTTGGACTCCAGCCGTTGGCTCTGCATCTTTGCGGTGAATCAGCCGGGGATCCCAGCCGCTGCTTGTAGCGAGCCGTCGCTGGCCGCCAGCATGTTCTGGCCTTCCGGCCCATGCCAGGCATGTTTCCATCTGTGACAAGACCTGGGGTGGCAGGGATTCGGTCAGTGGCCGGCCGTATATACCGTGTGGATGCAGGAAGGAGACACCGCGAAAGCAAGGCAACGTTTCACATTGTCGACATCTTTGTGTCTCGGAGGAGAAAGTCCACTCTGGCATTTTCTGCGAGATGAACAAGTTCGATGCCACTTTCTCTGAAACACCTGATGCAGCATCTTCAAGCGCCTACGACGATGTGACGATGTCATCAGGATGTCTTACAAAGGTGCTAGTCTTGTGTTCGTGTTCGACCTGAGCCAAGCTGCAGGCGATGATCGCACTTTTCCAGGAGCGGCATCCACGCTACGAACATGCGACTTTGGCAGCTTTAGGCGAAGCTGCTTCGAGGAGTACCGAAGAAACTCAGGTGGTGGCTGTAGATGACGGCCTCTGCCTTCTGACTCGAATTTGGGTCATTGCCGAGATCGCCGAGGTTTGGGCCTCGACACAGATGCCTGATTGGCCTCAGAGTTTGCGAGGTCTTCCGGAACCGACTACCCTGCAAAGTAGTCCTGCCGGAGCCGCGTGGCGCCTTGTCCAGACAATGCTCTCACTGCCAACTCTGGACGATGGCAACATCGAGTGCAAGTCCCCAGTCAGGCAATGAACTCCTGCGCCACGTCAAGGCGATGGACGTCCGGGATGCCCAGGTGGGGTACCGCTTGCTAGGCGTGCCCTTGCAGAGCACGATGTCCAAAGTAGAGGTGATGTACGGTATTGAGCGGACCTTGTTACAAGAGTAAGACAGGCAAGTCGCCCGGAAGACATTCACATGATCCTTGCCACTTGGATAGCAAGGCAGTGTACTGTGAGTCAAGTTCACTGGAGGTTTTTCGTCAGCTTCTGGCATCTATAAGGAAAAAATAGTGGACAAGACAGACTTCAACGAGCGCACCAGATCAGCGCTCATGAAGGTGGCCTACCTTGCAAGCCTAGAGCTGCGAGTTGAGAGTCTCGGCCTAAATCTGGAAGCTCCGAGAGTTCAGACTATTCGGGCCCGGCGCTGAGGATGCGATACCAATTGCGCGGCATCTCCTCGCAGCAGGCAGAGGCTGAGTTCATGAGGCATCACGGCTCTGAGGGCAGAGTCAGGCTACAGAACAGCACTATGCAGATCTATGCAGCACTTCCAGGCAAGTGGAGATGACCCGCCAGAAGTTGAAGGAGGCAAGAAGAGTTGTAACGTTCAGGTCGCAGCTTCAGTGCGGCTTCGCTTCTTGCAGTGGAACGATTCACGTTGGAAAGCTCGGCGGAATCACTCTTGAAGGCGACCAGCTTTGACGAGGTCCAGCAGGCTTATGGGGATTTTGAGAAGCAAAACGATCAGTTTGCCACAGACGAGGACCAGTCCCTCGATTCGGAGGTTTTGTCCCCAAACAGTGTGGTCATACAGTGGTCATACTATCAGGTTCTGGGTAAAGAGAGTTGATTTCGCATGGCGTGTGGTGCCCGGTCAAAGACAATGGTGCCTCGCGACCTATTGTTTTGTCGAATTTGCCCCACCCTCCTCGCCCGAACAGATTTTATGTGTCTCGGTTGTGCTGACTTTGGCCTATTGTATAGCAGATGCTGCACATCTCACATCTGGCCCCCGCATCCTATCTTTTACGCAGGATGTATCGAACCCTCGTCTCCTGCTGTGCTGCGGTGCATAGCTTTCGCTGGCATCCGATTATTTGTGCAGGATTCGTGTGGGGCGCGCGCCCCGGGGCCAGGATTGATCGTAAACAGTACTCCATGAGCCTCTGGGCTCCGAAAACTTCGGTAATTGGGATAGGATTCCGATTCGGGTGTTCCTGTGGATCTCGCAAGCTACTGTCGTGGGCGGAAGAAGCAGAAGCGTCGTGCTTTCGCACTGGTCTGGGAGCCTCCTGTGCTTGGGGGAGCCCGAGTCTGCCATGTTCTCGTTCTTGAACCAGTAATTACCTGAAACAAGCGATTCGGCTCGGCGCGTTCTGAAAGCGCGAGTATTTGGGGGACCGGGAGAGCATTTTGGCAGTGTCCTGGTGCTGTCTGGCGTCTCCTGGTGCTGCCTTTATGGTCCCGGTCCGTCCCGGTCGTGGTGGTCACTCGCTGGTCTCCTGCTGATCTTCTGGTTCTCAGTGATCTCCTGGTGCTCTACTGATCCTGGGCGTTGTCATCGTGGTCGTCCTGATCGTAAGTAAGTGCCCGTTGTTTCACTGTTTGGGGATCTCCTCTGCTGGCATAATTTGCACTGCTGTCCTTACACTTAGCATCATGCCAATTCGGAACACACCGACGAGTCACATCTCAGGACAAAAATCCTTCACTTCTGTGATTTGCTGCAGAATGTCGACCTGATGCAGTGGACAGCTTACCCTTATCCGTTGTTTCATCGTCAATGTCTCTCCCATTCAGGCCTGAGCTTTTCATCCGTACCTACCGCGAAGCCGCCATTCCGGAGTCTGGCTTCAGGCAACTTCCATGAGCAATGCACGATTTTGCGCAGCTCGCCATGCGACAGGCTGGGAATGACCGATGAAGAGGTCCTGCAGGTGTTCTGGGCAATGCGGGCATCAGTGCGGAGCATGCATCAGCTGCCGCATGTGCGCTTCGGGCATGTGTCTTCAAGGGCTTAGCCTTTGATCTGACTTCGGTCGACGCATGAGATGTCGCCAGGTACGTTAATGGTCCTGCAGTCCTGGCAGCTTTGGCAAAGTTAAAGCAGCCACAGGCATCCGTTATCTGCGTCACTTGCACAAACCAGCAACTCGGCTGCCCTACCTATTTATCTGGGACGACTGGAATGACCCTGTGCCGAGTTTTGACAGCCTCCCGCCCAGCACCCTGCGTTTTCACAGGGAGAGGCAATCGTGGTTGTGAGGTCAGAACACGTTGTCTTCGGCATGGGGAAGCGTGCAGCTTGCATCCGAGCAGTAATCGAACTTTCCTGCACGCATGCTGGAATCCAGCGAAGCCGCATGGGTTGCAAGAAAGTCTTTGCGACTCCACAGCCGAGGTCCAGATGACGGAGCCCAACTTGGCGACGCACATGGTCACCTTGGTCCACTGCAGCACAGAGGAGGGTGCTTGCGGAGTCTCCCAGCTCAAGAACTGCTACACGGTTCAGCGCAAGTGAAGCGGCCGAGGGCTGACCCTTCAGCTTATTTCAGGTCACCATTTATCGGGGCTTCGATGAGACGCTTGGCCTGCTAAGCTTTCATTCGCAGTCTCACAGGCGTCCTCGGTCGGTCCCTGATTCTGCACCCCGGTCCGCTCACGACCAGGGAAGTATATCGGATGCTCCAGCGGAGACACGTATCGCAGCAGGTTTGTTCTTTTGCATGCGCAGAAAGCCCGACAGAGGGTGGTTTTGCCGGTCACACAGCATGTAGCCAGTTGATGAAGCCATGGACCATAACCGTACTGAAAGACCATTCAGCTGTCATGCTCCGTCAGAGCGCCACCAAGGCCTTCTCTTTCGTACGAAGGCCCCTTTACAGGAGAGGCTGTTGCCAGCTTCGTGGTGGAAGAGGCCGGGGAGCTGGCAGTCCAGCCCTACACTAAAGACAACCACGCACGAAGCACACAGCGGCTGGAGCACCATTGCCCCCCGGATTGTGGTGGGGAGGCAGAAACGGAAGAGGAGTCGAGTCTGGCGGGATTGCAGATTTGTCCCACTTGCTCCTGCAGTCGCGATTTTACAACGAATTCGGCCTCCCCGGCCCAGTGCAGAAAGAGTACAGTTCAGTGGAAAAGGTGCACCCACCACCGCGGGGACTGCAGAACGGTGGCAGGGAAGCCGCCCACCATGACCAGCCAATTCTCTGTGTCCGCAACGAAAGAACCTTCATAATTGTGTTGACCATTGTTTATGGTCAGGCGACATGTCTTCAATTATCCAGGTTTGGGATGTGTTTCATCTTGCTGTTTCTTTGCAGTGCAATCAGTTTCTCGGCCAACGTCTTCTTTTGCTCAGGTCTTTCTCGAGGGTCAAAAGGGCTGAATGTCCTTGCGCGTGGCTTCTACTGCTGCACTGAGTGGTAACCGGGCTTGTGGTTCAGCAAGGAGCAGCATCATTTCGCAAAGGCACTGGTTTCGGAGGTATTCACCTACTACGTCCGAACAGGTAGCGCAAGTAACCTGGAACAGATTTCGTTCTTGGAGCTGGCGCAGCACCTCTTTCATCTGCGAGGTGTTATCTTGGGTCTTGATTGGTTACCGGGTATTTTGTTTGATCTGTCTTCGCCTCCGAGGGCGCTTGGTTCCACAAACTACCTACTTGACATTGGTGGGCTTCGGGATCATTGGTTGACTGGATGCAGTGTCCCTGTCCCTGGTTGCTTATGCCAATCCGGCAAAGAGAACATCAATCATTAACCTGCACCGTGATGGCTGCCCCAGGTCCTGGACAGTTTGGTATAGGCACCCTCGCAGGCCTCCGTCCGACGAGGATTTCGTGGTGACCGGAGATGGAGGAGATTGGATTCAGGCGAATGTCGCGCCAATCGAGGGTCAGATGAGCCCGTCGGTTGTGGTTGGCGGCAATACCCCTGCAGCCAGCTCAGATAAAAAAATTAGCTGCTCGTGTGATACACCTCCCAATGCAGAAGCCAAATCATGGCCCGATCCAGCCGAATCCATGCAAATTGCGCGGATTGGCACTCTGCTGTTGGGACTGCCATCAGGGGCAGTAATAGGCAGTAAGCCTCAGTAAGCCGTCCGGTGAATCTCACGGTAGCTGCACGGAAACTCGTGGCGGTACCTGCCTGTGGCGATGCCAGTTCCGGCTCAGTCGGCCGGACGGTGGTGTCGTCAATCCTACCGCATCGGGCGGAGAGGCGGGCTTGAAGGCCATACAAACTGAAGCAGCTCCAGGCGCTGTCGCTCGGGAGCCCAGAGCCGAAACGAAAGGCCGAACGAAGGACAAGGAGTCCAAAAACAAGAAGATGAAGAAGAAAAAGAAGAAGAAGCAGAAGAAGGGAGGAAGTTCTTCCACATCATCGAGCAGCCGATCGGGCAGCGGAAGCACGTCGAGTGCCTGAACCAGCAGCAGCGGTTCGAGCGGCAAAAAGCCTTTGAGATGGGGACCGGGCCAGGAACAAACGAGTGAGCCGCGACGACCTCGCCCACATGGACGGCCTCAAATTGAAGAAGAAGGGCGACTTGTTGGATGGAGCAAGCGAGCGAGTCCCATGTGGACGGCCTCAAATGGACGAAGAAGGGCGACTCTTGGATGGAACGAACGAGTGAGCTACGACGACCTCGCCCACGCGGACGGCCATCATCTCAGCTGAGGGAGGCTTCGGTGGCGTCTTGGACTCACCAATTCACGGGCTCGAGCGAGATCAGGGACATAAAGGAGAGATCCTGGATTCAATGAACATCGAGATGGCCCTCACGCAGAAGTCCCTGGCCAGCAGCTCCATGCTGGCCCTCACCAACGCCTAAGTTGACTTTTGAAGCAGGCAATATGGCCTACAAGGAGAGCATTGCGCTGATCCGCAGTTGGGGTTCGGTCGTTTCTATTCGAAGGTTGTTGCTGGTTTGGCCAGGGCTTTGGGTAGTGGGAGCTGCCCACGCGGATATCAAGAGCATCGTCTCCGTGGAGTTTTGAGCGTTTCTAGAAAAGGGTCGGGAAAAGCGTGAAGCACTCGCCTTCTCACATTTTTCCTCTGCCACCCCTGAGACGAGGTGGTCAAGACTGATGGCGGTTTGAATGGGCCTGAGCCACGTACAGGCTTGGTTCATCTTGGGCAATCTGCATGGAGGGCACGCGTCATCCGCCAGTGCTATCTGCTGCGGCACATGCCCGGATAGTGTGTGCTTAAGCGTGTGCCTTCGAGGCAATGGTGTTGCCCGACGAGCCTCTTTTGTCAAGTGGCAGTCTGGACACTATTCCGGGGCAGGTTGGCACTCGGGGTGAAAGGAGGTGCTCCGCCGAAGTAGCTGCCGATGTACTATTGGGGCAGCATCTTCAGAACAGTTTCCCAGAGATGGCGCTGCAGGTAGCGCGTCCGAGTGCTCTGTTACCCGCATCCAAGAGGAGGCCGAAGCGTGTGAAGAAAGGTTACACGTGGGCGTCGCACTCTTACCCCTAAGTTGTCAAATGCAATTTGAAGGGCAGGCTGCACTGCTTGACGACGCCCGCGGAAGTGGCCAAACATAGAGTTTCCCTTTGTCTGGCTGGGGCGTTTGCGGTCCGGACGGACGGTGTAGAAGACAGGGTCATTGCTGACCCGAGCGTCAATCAGCTTCTTGAGCGTCAAAAACTACCTCGTCCCCGCTTCGCCACTCGAGGCATCGGTGGGTATGTCATGGATGGATGCCCCCGAGAAATCCTTGGGTGGAGCATGGCGTTGAGCCCAATGCCAGCCTTGAAAAGCGCGGACATCTGTTCGAGGCCACGATTCATGTTTTACGTGCAGGACGAGTGCTGGTTGGTGTTATAGGAAGTTATTCGTGGCTATCGACAGCGCTGGCCGCAGGCGGGATCTGGTGCGAGTTCCGCATGAGGTGCGGGTAGAGTTGGCTATGCTTGCCATGCTGTTGCCTTCGGCAGTTTCAACTTGTCTTCTGATTTGAGCACACGTATTGAATGCACCGAGGCTTCTATGACTGGTATTGGTCGAGCGTGGGGCATTGTGCCGAAGCACGTGGTACAAACCTTGGCTAGATATTCAGACCATGGCAGGGTGCACACCAACATCAATCTTCCCTGGAGCACATGCTTCAATTTGGAGCACAAGTGTCCTCTGAGATGTGTTCGCATACCCATTGAGCGCATCAAGTGGCACACAACTCAGTTGGGGCACCATGGAGCCCGCAACACGTTGCATTGGCAACATTGGGTGAGGCACATGCCGGGACCTGGGCGGCCGAAGATAGGTTGTGGAGGCCTGCCGATGATGGTTGTCTCTTCGCGCATCCTGTCGACTCGGCAGCGTTTGCGGGTTGCTTAAGCGACCAACATGCTCAAGGTCGCTGGGGAAAAGGCATGTGACGTTTACCTCGACGTGAACATCAATGCGAGTTCCTGCGTGAGGAAAGCTGAGGAACAGCTCCTCAAAGGGCGACAGAGCGTTGCGACAATGCTCGAGAGCTTCCGAACTAGGAATAGGTTGGACATGATCGTCACTTTGGACTGTTTGACCAAACTGCAATACCCCTGTGATGCAAAGCTCAACCAGTTCAAGCAAACGGGAGACCATCAATCGCATGCGCCTGGAATTCATTGTGCAGCAAGACTATGGACTCTCCGTCGATGAAAACAGGGCTGACGATGCACTATGACATCCTGAGTTACGATCATCAAGATCGAATGCACCAGTGCCTGCTCAACATGATGGACAGAACCATCATGCGGAAGAGGGAGAACGCACACGTCGTGGCAGCGCAAGTTGGTCTCCGTCAGATGTTGGATGGCAGATCCGAATCCACGGACTCCAAAGGCAAGACAGGGATCAGGTGCAAGTTCCACTTTTCTGATGGAATGGGCAAGCGCCCGTACAGCCATTCGAAGAAAACTTCGGAACCAAGATCAAGGTCCAATTCCACTGACAGACCCAGGCAACCGAGTCTATCATCGGATCCATCACGACGAAAGGATCATGCTGCAGAGAGAGTTGTCCGCACAAGCATGATACGCATGCTGCGGCGGCGTCATCTGCTGAACCCAGGAGCAAGGCAAAGGGGAAGAAGGGGCCGCCGGGCAAAGCCAAAGCTGCTCCTGCGAGCCCGGCTATTGCTATGTGCAAGGCATGGAATCCTGTTGCTACCGCTGTACGACGAAGACCACAGCTTCTTCAAGATGACGAATCGGATTGTTCATCCCTTGCAGGTGATGCAGATTCCGATTGCTCAACAGACGATGAAGACGTGGACAGCCTTATAGCACTCCATGCTCCCAAGAATCGCAAGGCGTCGTTCGCTGCAGACACCGTGTGCCATTCAAGTTAGCCAAGGAAATCTTACAAAGAGAAAGGGAAGCTCGTGGCTGGAGTCGATATGGAGTCGATAACCCATCAGGAAGAACGAGCAAGCGAACTTGACTTCAAGAGACATCGCGCAATTACGAAAGCATGTGGAGGCACAGCTCATGAGGGATATGGTCGAGTCATGTCGAGTGGAATTCAAAACGGGAGTACTACATTCGAGTGAGATTGCCTGGGACAAGCTTCGTCGCAGAGTTCGCGTTCGACGTGGACGTGGACGAGGTCGCGTACGTTGAGAGAAAAGTGTCAAAACAGGAGAGTGAGGAAGCTCTAAAGAAGACCCCGAACATGTGCATGGTTCAACTTACATGGATTCGTTCCAAGATCAAGTTCATCATGGACACAGGATGTGGGGCAAGATCTCATTTCCCAGCATAGGGTTGGCAAGCAGAATCTGGAGACGCTTGTCGGTGTGTCATTTCAACAGGCAAATGGTGTGAGTGAATCAGACATGATAGCAAAGTTTCGTGACAGTGGACACTTTCCAACCACGATTCCGAAATGAGGTTATCAAAAATGCAACCGTCACGAGGATCGTGTTCCTGACATTCACGGTTCCTGTGACAAGTGACCCCCAGAAAGGAACCGTGGAACCGTATATGCTGATGATGATGAATATGAACATGATCATGACACTAGCCCCCTTCCCCCCCCCCCTCGCGCCGTCCGCTCCCAAGCAGAGGTGTACCCCGAATGACCCGACACTGCAGCCGAAGCAGGCTCAAACCCGAACCACACCACACCATAGGGGCGGGGAAGGGGGGGTGGGCCGGTCGCACGGGGATCATATATATATATATATATCATATCTCTCTCTCTCTCTCTATCAAACTATCTATACACATACGTGTCTATGTCCGGAGCCACACCAAAGCACATAAGTCAAGCGCGTCGAGCATGAACATCAACATGCTCCGGCCTGATACCTCGAACGCGACTGCTTGAATTCGAGACTTACCGACTCGAACAGCCAGGCCCTTCCGCTCTTCGGTGTACTTCACGAGGCAGCAGGAAAAGTGTCACAGAGTCACGAAAGCCAGGTCAAGTCGTTGAGTCTTTCCATGGCGGCAAATTTGATGTTTCTGGTAGGCGAACCGCGTGCATTATCTCGTCAAGGCAAAGGCTGGGCTTCTGACTGTTTGGCTTGGCCCCTGTGGGGAGCTGCAAAACAACAGCGTGCTGGTTGCATCAGCTGCGATCAAGCAGTTTGCCGCTCGTTTCCGTGACATCCCCTGCTGCCTTCTAAATTCAGCTTTTCTGGATGCAGATGTGCTGGGCCGATTTCTGCGCACAAATGACACTCGTCGTGATGAAACGGATGGTGATGGTGAGAACGGATTGCCGACGCCTGTCGCGGTGCTCTTCTTGGGCCAGCTGTCTGGCAGGAAAGGCTGCAGTGGAAAACTGACGTCGGAAGCCCTGAAACGCTTCGTTTGCCCAGTTCAGCTTCCGCTGAGAAGCGCAGACAGACTGCAGGCATTCGTCGAAGGCGCCCTGGCCGGTGCGTTAACAGGTGAGGACATCTCTTCCGCAACACCCTTGTTGGGCGAAACCTTCACCAAGAAGCTGGATCGAGGACTCGCTGGATAGTGTTTGGCTGCTACCTCCGGGTGTGTATCGTCGCCGGTCAAAATCACAGGAGGGAGCTTTGCGAGCTTCTTCTGTGGCACAATATGTATAGATTCTATAGCCTGCCCCCGGGGGGTCAAGGTAGGATATTACAGAGTTGAGCCACAGCCACCGGCTTGGACAGAGTGCCATCTGACTTCGACACGGAAGATGAAAAGCTCCACGCTGTTCCCTGCACAAGCCTCTGAGGGGCCATGTGCACAGAACGATTTAGAAGTTCAATAGATTGCTGTGATGCTGCAAACCGAAGGTTGCAGGAAAGCATCAGAAGCCGAAGGAAGATCATCCAGGCTTCCATTGGACTGCCATGCGAAAATTAGACATGCCTTGGCAAAGAGGGAAGAGCAATGCAATGCGCTTATGCAGAGGTCTTTTTGTGTCGCTGCTCAAGTAGACACCGAAACCAAGGCGTCCCACTTCTCTGGGAAGATGTCGCGACTGGTGCTGATCTGTGGCCCGATCGTGTCTGTGGCCTGTGGCATCTGAGCTGCATCTAGATTCGCCTGTCATCGCGGCCGTATCGGTTCACGACATAGGTGTCGGCCACCACCAGACTATTCATTCACAAGGTTTCGGCCTTTCAGCCTCACCACTGTTTTTGGAGATAGCTGTGGCACATTTTTATTCTCAGTGGTGTCGGTTGATGAAGCACGGATGTAAGACGGAACTTTGACGCTTCGGCTCTTGACCCAGCAACTTTCCTTGGTGTTTAGGAATATGGTGCGGCTTCCTTCTGGACATGATCGTAGAACCGCCTCTTGCCTGGCAATGATATGCCCACTGAGCTGTTTGTTGCCGGCTGGGATTTTCCATCTGCTGTCTCTTCAGGTTTTTGCTGCTGCTGGGCAAGAAGGGTTACGGACCCCCTGCTTCTGCAGTGGACGACACACCGAAGTGTGCGGCCTAGCTTCGGGTGTGCCCTAAGCCCTAAGCCATTACTTCTGCAGATCTATACTCGATGTCGCTCAAGCTCTTCACGCAGAGCTCTCGCTGTCAGGTCCGGCAAAGGAAAGGCAGAGAAAGACAAGGGAGACAAGTCAGGACTCGCTTTCTGTCGCAGTGACCGGATCGTATACTCGCCATTGGTGCGCCCCCCTTGTCAGCAGGAAAGGACAAGGATACAAAGAAGAAGAGGCAGCGAGATAGTCAACGAGGGGCGAGGGAAGATTCATGATCTGTCAGTTCTACTTTGAGCCTCTTTTGAAATGTTTCGCTTATTCCCGTTCCCTTCCTGGGCCAACCTTCTGTAGAAGTCTGTTGAAGCTGCTGTGCCGTGTGGCATTCGGGTTTTGGTCAAGGAGTCTCAAAGAGCAAGTCCCTGAGCTGGAAGAGCATGAAGAGGAGCCATGGATGCACAGTTAGCAGTTAGAGGTTGGCGAAAGCAAGGAGTGTGAAGTGGGTTGGCAGGAGGTGCGCCCTGGTGGCGCAATGCAGCTGAAGCGCATGTTCAAAGGCTCCCGCAAAATTGTCCCCTAATCTGCTGTGTCACTGGGCATGTTTTCGGCATGATCCTTGGAAGTTTGAAACTGCGTGGGCGGAGGACATGCAACATCAAAGACCCGTAAGACCTCCATCTTGCGAAGTGCTACATACCTACAGTCCAAGCCAATGCATGGCATCAGGCTACTGCTGGAAGATGCTTCCCGAAAATTCTGTGCGGCCTGGCATAATTTCATTGGCCACACGACTTGGAGCCCCAAGTCCACATGCAGACTGGCAGAGTGTTCGCTGTGCCTGGGTGGTTGTTCGAAGGCGTCGCCGCTCAACGGTGTATAGGCCAGTTTCATCCCAAACTTAAGCAACCTACTGCCCGCATGGGGCCAATGGATCAGCAGAACGGCCTTCATCAACCCTGCTGGCTCATCCATTGAAATGAAGCAAATTCTGCTGATGAGGTCTGCTGGGTGCTTGCACCAGTCATCGCGCACCACCGACAGTCGCAACAGCACAGCCTAACCCTTGGTGAACTGTGTTGTCAACCCATAGAGTCGACTTCTGCGACAACGCCTTTCCTGCTCGTTTGGGCAGCATCAAGTTGGGTGTGCTGTCCACACTTGGTGGATCTTGGTAGTTTTACATTCGCCGCAGCGTCGCGGGTGCTGCTGTTGTTGTTGTTGTTGTTGCTGCTGCTGCTGCTGTTGCTCTTGCTCTTGCTCTTGCTCCTCCTGCTCCTGCTCC